GCGGATGTAGTAAACAACCAACCCCGCCAACTATCGCCAATCCTCGGATGCCTTTTTCTTTTCGTTCATTTCTTGCCCACGTTGTGTGTGTGTGTGTGTGTGTGTGTGGGCGGCGGCCTCTCGCTTCCCCTATTTTCGTTCCCGAGGGGCGTATCGTTCCGTTCGTTGGCTGCGCGCTGCATGGCTTTGCTTTCTCCTCCCAAGAAAGAAAACCACACAGAACACCGCCCCCAAACTGCGGATAACGGCAGCTCCCGCCCTTTCTGTCCCTGTTTTGCACATTAGTGTTGCTCTTTTTATTTTATTTTTGTGCGTTGCAGTCGCGGTTGCGTGCGCCTCGACTTTTTTTATCTGGGGCAGCAGCAGCAGGGCGGAGAGCCTGCATTCGATGCATCAACTCTTTTTTTTTACCCCGCCTCACTGCTGTGGGTAAAGGCTGTCTCGGTAGCCTAAAAAGAAGATGGTGGTGTGGCTTAGCCACGGGACGCAAGCGGATTTTCCCCTGCCTTTTTGCTTTTTGCTTTTTGCTTTTTGCTCGTCTCACTCCACCGCGATACATTCTAGGGGTCTGTGGGAGGAGGCGCAAACCCTCGTGACCCGCGGGCTGCTTTCGGGTTTCCTTCCCCCTTCTTCGGCCACCTCGGGGACAAGGACCGAGAGGCAGCAAGCACACATGGCCGTCGCATGGCTTTGATATCTTTGTCAAGCTGGTTTTAGTCGAGGCAGCAGTTTGTGTCGCGGAGTGGAAGACCCTATCGCATTCGCCGTTTGCGGTAGACCGTCGAGGCTGAATCTGAACCAAGCCCGCCTTTTTTTCTTCTGATCTTTCCTATTCCTGTTTCCAGCATCCATGCCATCGCTACCCCCTCCACCCTTGGCGCTCCCCCTCCCCCCCCCGTGATGCGCTCCGCTGCTGGTCGACTGCCGGGGAAACCCTCCCCATAGGTAGATAGATGCCTGTGCTTGCTTGCCACGCTTTCTTGAGCCGCCCCGCGGACGCCCTGCCTTGCCATGCACTTGCCCGCCCGGCCGCCTCGTTTGCCGTACAGGCCCTGACCCTGTTCCCGGTTGTCGCGCTTGCGTCACCTTGGAACCACCGAGTGCTCCTCATCCCCGCCGGACCTACCTGGTGGTGGGCGGGCAAGCAGGTCACGCAACGCCTCGGAAATGGGGAGAGTGGGAGGCGGAGGTGAGTCTTTTGGGATGTGAGGGAAAGGCTCTCTCGCCAGGGTGAGGGTGACGGTTACGGTGTGACGGTGCGAGATGACAATACTGCTCCCCACGAAATATAGCTCCACACTTAACGTCCGAGAATGATGGACGAGCAGGCCACCTAGGCAGTGCTGTCGTTGTCGTCACCAAACCCATCTCGCCTCACCTTCTCGTGGGGACAGTGATGGCATTAAATGGAGATAAACAACTCCGAGTGCAGCTCAATCTCCCTGTACGGGACACTAATCGTACTCAGCATCCCCTCCCCAGCACTGACAGGGGAGATTGAGATTGACGCACCCGAGTGCATTCGGCGGCGATGACTCGCAAAAAGGTGCGAAAGTTCCCCCCGTCCAGGCGCGCGCGCGCGCGGCTGACTTTGGCCGCGGACGCCCGAGCTGGCAAGGAAATCCCGGCTCCCTAATACGGTTGACGGGTTTGACTGTCGTGGGCCGTATGGAACGCCTTGACGATGTACTAGTAGACAGTAGGTGATGGGTCAAGGCAGGTGGGCGGATGCGTGGCGAACCGCCCGTCGTCGCGCTCCGAAAAGGCTACGAGGTGGAATCTTGGTGATGACGAGGCTGGCCGGGAAATGGAGGTAGGTAGGTGGTAGGGCTCAATTGACGCAACGTGGATGCATCGTCCAGGCAGCGAGGCGTATTGGGGGCTGCTTCTTCTGCTCTCAATGTCGGCCGCAAGGCTACCTACCTGTCTGTCTGGCAGGTGGGTGACCAATACCAAACTCGGAACCAACAAGTGCTTTCTACCCCTTCCGTCAGCTCAGCTCAGCTCCGAAAGCGGACCTGGCTGCCTGACTGACTGGAGATTCGCAAAGAATACACACCCCATCTGCCATCTGGATCTGACGTGCGCAATAGGATGGGGATCCAGCAATGTGACCTTTTGCTTTTTGTCAGACGTTTAAAAATTCACTCCTTCTTACAAAAGCTAGGTCGCATCTTGGGTCGGCAAACCGCTCCCGATGACTCTTCGATCGGTGCCCAGTCGAGGACTGTGCTACCACACCCATGCCGAGCCCCCAGATCCGATATGTCCCAAGTGTCCGAGACCGGTCTTTTTGTGTGTCACGACTGATGTCCATCTGCGTGGCGTTTTCCAAGTCGACGACAAGTTCTGTAGTATATCCACCACTGCTTCATATGCCTCTAGAATCTTGGATGGCGGCGGCGGCGGCAGCTGATATGTTTGTTGGGCTATTGGGCTTTGATGTGGAGGGCATTCCGTGACGCTGCGACACGACCCATTGGCTGGCATATCTATAAACTCGGTGCAGTAGTCTTGGAGCAGCGTCCCGCTGGGTCTAGTAGTGGTCTCTGTCGCGTAGCATAGACCCGACCATCTGTCCTCTCCGCTTTAGAATGCATCATTTGGGTAGCTGGTGTGTGTGTCACAAACGCCCACGGCACCGCGAGGTCGTGGGAATAACGGGGCGCTGGTGCTCCCGTGCTGTTTTCTGCTTTCCTGGGGGTGCCAGATCAGAAAGACTTGACTGCTTACCTTCCTGTATTGTCCTCATCCGTGCCCTCCACAAGCCGTACCATACTACATGCACTCCCAAGATCTAGTAGTAAGCGAGGCGACGTGAATCTGCATTCCTCAGCGCTCCAACGTGCGCATGCGGGTAGTCATAGAAACCCCCCGTGTTAGGATGGAATCGCACCCCCTTCAGCCGTTGGGGCCGAGGCCGTCGTTCAAGTAACCGTTTAGTCACGGGGGAGCTTGGCGCATGCCCGCTTTGGGTACCTAGATGGGCCGTGACACATGATGAGCGTAATCGCATCTGCCTTGCACCAGGGGGGGTTGTATGCTCAACTGGGCTTTTTGAATCCCTAGCCAACGTCTTGACCGAATGCCGTATGGAGCCTGGGCCACATGAGCCAGACAGTTCAGTGCCTAGACGTGGCAAGACGGAGGTGGGCAGGCGGCCGGATAGCGTCGGGCTGCCGCTGAAGCACTTGCAAGAGACACGTCTGTCGTATTCGGTCATCGCCAAGAGGTGGCGAGACCAGCCGAGCAACCCGGTCAGACTCGGACTCTTGGTCAGGGCCGGGCTGAACCCCCGTCCTTTGTCGTAGGCGGCGATGGGAACTTTTTTCGTGGCAATCACCTAGAAGGAACGAAATAGCCGAAATCGGTATTGGGGGATGGGTCTTTGGTGACATGCCACTTTGATCCCATGTCTCCTGACGAGCTAACGTTGGCAGAGACCATGTCTGGAATGTGTGTGACCTGGCAGGGACGAAGTGATAGCGCGTGGACTCGGCGCCATGCTTGACTGCCATGTACCATTTGTTGTTCGAGAGCCCGACCTCGGACGTGGATACTGGGGATGAAAGATACTGGATAGTCTCTATCGCCAAAGGTCCTCTCGTGGGATACCCAAGATGCCGTGAACTTACAACTTACACGCTCAGTAGCAGGGAGATATGCACTGTCGCGCTATCGCCTTTCCATATTGTCCGAGATGGGAGGTGTTCTTTGCTAATGGCAAGAGAGAGTTCCGCAGTGTCAAATCCAAGGGACGCCAACTCGACTAATACAAGAGGTCTCTATTTAGCTGCCAACCGCAGCATGGCCCAAGCGGGCTGTCCCTTTCCGGGTAAAAGTAGGAGCAGCGTCTATATCTATATGCTGTTCTATCTGCCATAATAGTACATTTCAAGTTGGCCCCCATCCTGGCGGACCTTGACTTGTTTACAGATGCGAGGGCGGTGATATACAAAGCAGGGGGCGCGACGTCGAATGCCTATAGCATCCAGGCTTCGATTGCCTCCATCATTGCCGTTTCTTGGTTTTGGGGATATTAGGAGTGTTGTTCTTCATCATCTCCGCGCGCCGCAGCCCGGCCCTGAACCGGTCCTCGGCCGACCCACCGCTGCTGGCAGGCGAGCAGGAGCCGGAAGAAGGCGGCCCGTAGTGGTTGGTGCCCGCATGGTAGTCTTCGCGGAACCAGGCAGAGTCGAGGTGGGCGCGAGCCTCGCTGCCGTGCATCTTGACGCGCTGGACCTTGCGCAGCTTCACAAGGCCGTACCAGCACACGAGGAGGGAGAATACGACGGAGAAGCTGGTGACGCCGGCGAAGCCCCAATTAGTCTCCTCGATGAAATTCTCCAGGTTCATGCCGTAAAGACCGGCCAGGAACGTGCCCATGGCCAGGCCGAGCGTGCCAATGCTGAACTTGAGGTCCAGCAGCATGAGCGAGTTCCGGTTCGCGTCAAGAATTGCGCGAATGCTGCAAGGCGAAAACACATTGTTAGAGTCTGATATGGAAGTCGCAAGGGTGCCAGGAATACCCCACTCACATCTCCTCGGTATTGCGAATGCTCGAAACCAAGCTCCCTGCCTCCTGGACGACTTCGTCGCAAATCTTATGATAAGATTCGAGCAGCATCTCAACCTCAGTGTGGTCGTCCTCGCCACGGTACAGGTCGTGGCGCTTCTCGGTCAGGTACATGGCTGCCAGGTCGTCGTCGGCCTCGAGTAGCTCGTCGATGGCGTCGCGCACGAGCTTGGCCTTTTGATCAAACGTACTGACTTTCTTGGACAGCACGAGCAGGATGCGGAGACGATCTCGGTTGATGTCATCCTCGAGCTCGCGCAAGACGCGGACCACGGGCTCACGCACCGTGTACAGGTCGGCCTCGAGCGCGGTTGTCGCCGAGATGAGCACAGCTTCCAGCGCGCGGAACTCATAGGGGAGCCCGCCGACTGAGTTGGGTCCCTGCTGCTTTTGCCGCAGCCGTCCCTGGAGGTCGTACATGAAGGCCGACTGATTATATGACGTCTTGGATCCAAACACGTCAAAGAGCAGCACTCGGTCCGATTTGATGAGCACCCTGAGGTGCAACAGGTTCAGCAGGATCGCCGACGGCCGCACGAGGATGTGCGGCAGGTTGGACGAGTCGATCTTTCTGAGATCGCGTGGCAGAAGTCCATACTTTACGCACATGTTAGTAGAGCAACCGCGAAGGAGGATATCATGGGGTGCCCACCTTCGCAATCAGCTCGCTCTTCTTATACTCGCCGTCCACGAGTATGACCTCGCCATTCTCGTCGACTTCGGTGCAGCGCAGCCTGGGGTCCATGGGAGCCCGCATGAGCTGGGTCCTGCGGGAGCCAAAGGTGAAGTTGCTGTCAGAACCGCCGTCGTCGCCGCACATGTCGTCCGACCGCCGCAGCGGCTTCCTGGCGCCCCAGAGCCTCTGCTGCCACGTCATTTTGGACGCCTCGCGGCGGGGTTGTTGGTGGTCCATGGGCGCCGACAGGGGCGAGGGGGAGGAGCTCGCGCCGCCGTTGCCCATGTTCTGCCCCGCGTCCCTCTCGCCCAAGCTGCTCCTCCGTCTGCGGAGCGCCCGCGGCAGAATGCTGTCGACACTGAAGAGAGACGCCTGGAGGCTGGCTTCGGGCTTTTTGGGCGGCGCGGCGGGGGCTGTCTTCCGGGAGTTGCGTGGTGTCGCGCTGGCGGAGAAGGCGCGCGCGGTCGAGGGCAGCGGCCTGCCGCCGAGATAGGAGATGCGGCCGTGGACCAGGCATTGTTGGTGGCGGCTGGCAACTGAAGCGCGGGGTGTCCGGCATGGCGAGCTGACGGCGGCGGCTACATGGCGGCTAGCGGCGGCGCCGAGCGACGAGGCCAGGCCGTCGGTCTGCAAACGGAGGAAGCGCAGCAGGCGCGGGGAGGGGACCGGCAGGCTCGGTGCCGGCGGAGGCATTGCAGGCACGTGCGGCTCAGCTCAGGTCAGCGTCGCCGGGGGTATGCCGGGTTGGCGTTGGCATGTGCCATATGCTGGCTGCAGCAAGGAGTAGGCGTTGTGGGCCGCTGTACTGTGTCGTCGACATTTCAATGGTGATGCGGAAAATGTTTGCTGCCGTCGAGTGAAATTCTTTTAGTAGAGGCTTCCCAAGCTTCTGATTGGCTGAACTACAGTCAGGTATGATGCGGCGAGTGGGGTGGATTTATCAACTGCAACTCCGCTCATGACGTTGCTAATTGAATTTGGGGTAAAATTTCTGGGCCTCGCCGCGGCAGATTCGGAACGAGCCGACAACTCTCGACTGGTGCCATGACTTGACAAGGCCGGCTCACCTCCTGCGGGCAAGTGGCTACCTGGCTATCTGGAGGGTAAGTATTCCACCGCACTGAACAAGCTGATAGTGGGAAGATGAAGCGCCGAGGTAGTGTCCATCTGGGCTTGGACGTCACCTGATTTCGATTCCTCCTCACTTCTCTTTCTCACTGACACCAGCCCCATCTGCCGCATCTGATCGCTCTTACTATTGCCCTTTCTCAACCTACTATATATGTTATCATGTGTGCTTACACCCATATTCTCATTAGGGGTGACTCGGATGGAGAGATAAGAGATGAAGTTGACTCCTATCCCTAAAAAAGGGGCTCGGGGCACTGGGGACTCCACTAAAAGGGGCAAACGCGCCACGGAGAGCACCCTTGAGGGCAAAGTCAAGCGTCAGAAGAGCTCGAGCACTGCCTGGCCCGATTCTGGATCCCGCCCGACAGCAGGAGAGCCCTCTAAAGTGCTTCGTCGAACGCGAAGACAAAAGACGTCGCTGCTGGACCTGCCCGGCTGGTTCCTTGTGAATGTCTTTATGCTCGAGAAGAACTTCAGCTTCCCGCGCTGCTGCGGCTGGATCGGCCGGGCTCTCTCGCACCCCTACGACCTCCGTCGGCTGATCGCCGATGGCTTCTCTCCGACCTGGGACGTCTGGTTCGGCTGCGCTGCTGAGGAGGTCGTCGCCTACCAGTGCCTGCCCGGTTCGGCCACCTACAAGTGGATCGGCGACAAGGACAGGTTCGGCGGCGACCCGAAGCTTCAAAGCGACATCCTCGCGCAGAAGTGGCTCACCCTGGACCGCCTTCTCCAGGCGCAGCAGTTCTGGTTTATCACCAAGCGGACATGGACGCCCACTTACTACCGTGTCCCGTCGCCCTTGAGGTTGCGGCTCGAGCCATGTTACGGCAGTCGGAGTGTTGGCTTCGAGGGCTTCCTGCAAGACGCAGACTTCAGCATTCGAGAACAGTTCGAACTGGAGTACAAGGCCGCCGTTGGCGACATGGTCGTAGATGCCCTCCACCCCCGGGTATACCCAAATATGCTCGAAGTTCACCAGGCTACTTGCTTTCCAGATCGGTTGATTACAGGGCCGTGGACCGAGGACGACGTGAAGCTCCTGTTTTGGCTGGGCAGGGCCGGTGCTGTCATGTCTAAGAACCAGTCCTGGGAGGTATGTTGAGTCGGACTGGCCGTCCCAAGCCGATAATCGATCACGGCTGACCAGCTTGATGAACATTCTGTTTTAGATCGTCATCGAAGGTCTCCGCTATATGACCTCTGTTGCTAGGCGGAATGGCTTAGACAGTCCGGATATAGACAAGATCCGAAATCACATCTCACGAGTTGTCAGATTGTTCGAGATGTTCAAGATCTGGGACAAGATTCCGTACAGCATTTTTATCGACTATCGAGAATGCTATAATCTCAGCTGGCTGTTGGATGTTTTGGTACAGCGGACTCGAGTTGGGGAGCACCTCGTTCGCGAGTAGAGAGCATCGTGGGAGCCCAATAGATTCCTAGGCGGCCAAGGAGCACCGGCTCTAGTCTGACTGGTGACTACAAACATTTCGCCGCGAACCATCTTTGTAGTCACCGAAAGGTATTGGACCACCTGGCCCAGTGGGCGAGAGGAATCCTACATTGAAGCTAAGAAAATAAGAGATAGCAACTGCCTTGAAATCTGGCAATGGAGCTCACCGCCAAATTTGGAAATCGAGAATCGAAGTACATGTAGCAGACACAAGAGCTCAAGTCAGCCTTGAAAATGCTTGGACCCCCACGACCCATGTTCCCCAGTAGGCGCTACTTTGAAGTTGCGGGCGTCACTAATCTGATGCTCAAATGCGACTTTCCTGTCCCCAATCCCGCGGAGCCCCAAGTCCCGATTTGGTGCCGACGCCCGAGGGCCCCCCTCAGCTAGAGGTCCCACCCCGCCCGGCATCGGCTGGCCGTTATCATGGCAAGGCTGGGCGGCCTTCCCGATCTGAAGAGACGCAGCTAATTTTGCGGTGCTAAGGACGCGAGGCGATAAGCGCGGCGAGAAAATGACGTATCCGACCTCGGTGAGCCCTACAGCCATCGCCAGTTATTGCCGAGCCCTGACAGGGAAGCTATTCGGCTTGTCGGCCGGAGACGTCGGGCCACGCCGAAAGACAGGCTCCGCCCGACATATAAATTCGGGTTTGAAGGTTACATTTACGAGCTGTGTGATACTGGACGACAACCCACACATAGATAGGTATTGCTCTCAGACACGATGCTCTCCCGGACTTTCCTCACCCTCCTGCCTTATCTCGCAGGCTTCGGCGCAGCGGCACCGACGGCCATCCACGGGCCACCGCCGCCCCTGCCGGCACACCAGCTGAGCGCCCGGGACGACGCCAACACATACAACAGCAGCCTGCCCAACATCACCATCTTCGCGACGGGCGGCACCATCGCGGGCTCGGCGGCCTCCAACACGCAGACGACGGGGTACCAGGCGGGCGTGCTGGGCGTCGACGTGCTCATCGCGGCCGTGCCCGAGCTCCGCGCCGTCGCAAACGTCAAGGGCGTGTAGGTGGCCAACGTGGGCTCGCCCAGCGTCACGCCCGAGGTGCTGCTCAACCTGACGCGGCTGGTGCAGGCCGCGCTCGGCGACCCGCGCTGCCAGGGCGCCGTGGTGACGCACGGCACCGACACGCTCGAGGAGTCGGCCCTGTTCCTGGACCTGACGGTACGGTCCGGTCCGAGAAGTCCGTGGTCGTCGTGGGCGCCATGCGGCCCGCCACCGCCGTCGCCGCCGACGGGCCCATGAACCTGCTCGAGGCCGTGTTGCTGGCCGCCAGCCCGTCGGCCCGCGGCCGCGGCGCCATGGTGGTGCTCAACGACCGCATCGGCAGCGCCTTTTACGTCACCAAGACGCACGCCAACGCCCTCGACACGTTTGCGGCCCGCGAGCAGGGCTACCTCGGCTTCTTCATCGACGCCGGGCCGATATTCTACTACGCCCCGGCCCTGCCGCTGGGCCGCGCGCACTTTGACGTGCTGTCGCTCCGCACCCTGCCGCAGGTCGGCGTCCTGTTCGGCCACCAGGATCTGACGCCGGCGCTGGCGCGCGCCGCGGTGGACGCCGGCGCCAGGGGGCTCGTGCTCGCGGGCATGGGCGCCGGGTCGTGGACGCCGGCGGGCTCGACGGTGCTGGCGGAGCTGGCGCGCGACAGGAGGACGCAGGTGGTGGCGTCGAGCAGGGCCATGGGCGGCTTCGTCCGCAGGGCCGGCACGGGCAATGTATACGGCGCCCAGAATCTGAACCCGCAAAAAGCGCGCATAATGCTGCAGCTCGCCCTCGGCGTGGGATACTCGTCGGAGCAGCTCGCCACGCTTTTTGCGTTTGGCTCATAGGGGGTTACATACGCGAAGAGGGTGGTGGTTTATAATAAAGTCAACTTTAACGCACCTGCAGCCATGGATTCAGAGGTACGGGAATGTGCTTTGCGTGATGTAGCCAAGCTCGCCCGTTGGTATCCAAGTTCCATACATGGTAGAGAGTTCAATAAGTGAGCAAGGCTGATAGTATCCAACTCGAATCTTGATAGAACAGGGTCACAAATTGTATGCCACATGCCACTAGTCCAAGATATCATAACGTTTACAGATCCCCGAACTCCCGCATGGACCACTCCTTCCAATCAGGCTTCTCGCCCGGCAGGCGGATGGCCTCCCATTCATCGCGGGTGACCTTGCTGTACTCGTCGACGGGAATCCAGCCTATATAGGCACGGTCGCCGAAGCCGCCGATCCAGTAAACCTTGGTCACGACCAGGCGGACCCACTCGGCCTCATGAATTGGGTTGCCCGGAAGCCAGTACTTTGCATCGGGGTGGGTGCCGACGTAGCAGGTCGTAACGCCGGCCACCTTTGAGGGCTCGATCTTCTCGAGGTAGCCCAGGAGGGAAAAGCGCGGCAGGTTGGCGCCCGAGTAGGGCTGCGGGTCGGGCCGGCCCTCACCAGCCTGCTCTTCATGCCGTCGCGACAACCCGAGCAGAGAGCGCAAGGAATCCTCCAGAGCCGAAAGCAAGGACGGCGAGGACGGGGCCGAACGGATCCGGCGGCTCGGCGGGTACGGCGGAACCCAGGCGAGACTGACACTGATGTTGGAACCGCTGCGGACGTTCCGGAACGAGGTGCCGATGTGGAGCTCCAGGATGGTCGGGTTCCCAACGCTGTCGTCCTCGCAGTCGGCGATGTAGTCCGTCAGCCCGACGGGGGCGCCGCCTATGCCGCCGTCCTTGTCGCTGGGGAAGACGGTCGAAAAGGTGGCGAAGGGCGCGAGGGCCAGGATGCGACGCGCCATGATGGCCGACTCGTACGACGTCGGGATTTTGAAGCCCGAACTGACCGCAGTCGCCGGGTCAGGGTTTGAGAAGAGGAACTCGGAGGCTGGGGCTGGTGACATGGGCGCCGAAGCGGCCATAGCCACCGCTACCGGGCTTGCAGTGAGAAGGATATTGGAGGCCTTCATTTTGGGTCCGACTCCTGGTTCTCTTCAAACGATGTTTGCGTGACTGTTGTAGGAGCAGGATTCCGACAAAACGTGAACAAAGCGAGGAGAGAAAACACAGCAGAGACGCAAGCGGTGGAGGACAGTGCCAGCTATCTATACGCTCGCGTCAAATGCCTGTCATCGTTTGAGCTGCACCGCGGTTTGCGCGAGTACGGATACGGCAGAGTGGCAGGCCGACAGGACAGGGCCAGGGCGTGGAGATCATCTGAGGCGGATGGGACGACAAACGACCAGGGAGGGTGGGGTTCTCACTCCTCCTAGCGGGCTGGGCCTTGACTGCATTGCGTCGTGACCGAGTTGGGGGTGGTCGACATGGATTTAGTGCATGCTTTATCGACGAACCAGACCCTTGTTGGTTCTCTGGGTATATTGCCTCGGCATCAGCTCTCGTCTTTGAGTGCTCGTTGCTCTGCTGCTTCGTTCCACCGCCGCCCGTTGGCTGCTGCCGCGGTGGGGACGACAAGACATTTTATCAATCTGATAATCTATGGGCCCGTGCAGTAGGCAATTGCTTTCTGCCTGAGGCCCAAGGTGGGGGAGTCGGCTCATGAATTGAATTCGTGTCGGGAAGGAATGCGGGACACTGCGGTTGCCGAGTCAACATGGCCGTGTCCCGCATCCCGCTTTGGGCCACTCAGACAGAAAGAGCAGCCCAACGAGACACGAGAAATTCCAGTCGCGGCCGACGTCAATTTGCAGCCAGCAGCATAACAAACCCTGCCCGCTGCAGTCCAGAGCTGCGGCCCTGCAGGAACTCTACCATCGTCAAGATCTTGCGTCGCATCCTGCACCCGTGGTTGAGGCTCCGATCCATCACCCCGCCTCTTCACATGCAGCTTTGCCCCATCATCGCTTTCTGAATATTCCCAGATTCCCCCCACCAGCGGTGTGGAGAACCCTTTCCGTCTGCGGCACGCACGGGCAAACATCGCTGCTGTTCTCTTCGCGCCATCGCCTCGCCGAGATAGCTCGTTCCAAACGCGTTGCCGTAACCTGGCGGTCTTGCAACAGCTCGCAGCAGCACCCATCACGCGCCCACCCCGATTCCCCACGGATCCTTCCTCAACCGATAGCGGGCAGCAAGCAATACTCGGCCGTCTCCCCGCCACCCCCGCCGCCGTCCGCGATGGCGAGCTTCATTGGGAACCTGTTCCCGGCCGGGAAGCAATCCGACCGCCCAGGCACTCCCACCCGTGGCAACTTCATCACTCCCGCCAGTACGCCCCAGGGCAGCCCCAGCAAAAAGACTGTTCCACCGGGCGCCAACGAGCTGCCGAACGCTCTCGAGCACCTGAAGCTTGCCCCTCCCCCCACCTTCGATAGTCCGCTGAAGCTCAACCGACCCCAGAGCGCCGTCGCCTCGGCCACTCCGTTGGCCCCCACGTGGAACAATGCCCAAGCCCCTGACGACTCGAGCGTCTTCGTCGACGACAGCGTCCTCCACAAGTCGGGCGCCTCGCCCAGCAGCCACCTGAGGAAGCAAGGGCAGGAGAACACCCCGCCCCCCCTCGCCCCTCCACGCCATGGGAACGGAGGTGACCAACACGGTCTGCAAAGTCATGCTGCGCTCTCTCGGCAGGAGATGTACGGAGAGAGGGAGAGGGAGCCTAGGCTTAGGCCCACAACGCCCGCCGCGGCCACCAGGCGCTTTAACACGTCGCGCGGTCTGACAGCCGAAGAGCTCGAGATCTTGCAGAAGCCCAACGTGAAGAGGATGGTCAACGTTACGCAGCTTTGTAAGCCTTGTCACTCTTGGACGCTCTCCCTGCAACTGCTGCCGTGCACTTCTTATCCCGTGACGCCTTCCTGACTGACGTGTCCAGACTTCCTCGACTACTACTTTGACCTCCTCACATATGTTGGGTCCCGTCAGGGCCGGCTCAACGCTTTCCAATCCGAATTCCCCGCACCGCCTGAAACCGATGTAGCCACGTACGAGACCATGTGGCACAAGTACAAGGGCCGCGAACGGGCGAACCTGCGGAAGCGACGCGTCCGGCTCCGACAGGGCGACTTCCAAATCTTGACCCAGGTCGGCCAGGGCGGCTACGGCCAGGTGTTCCTGGCGCAGAAGAAGGACACGCGCGAGGTCTGCGCACTCAAGGTGATGAGCAAGAAGCTGCTCTTCAAGCTTGACGAGGTGCGCCACGTCCTGACAGAACGCGACATCTTGACCACGGCCAAGAGTGATTGGCTAGTACGGCTGCTGTATTCGTTCCAAGACGACAAGAACATATACCTGGCAATGGTAGGACGACCCCGCCCCGCAAGCCAGCTCATAGGGTCTCGACTAACCAAGGCTGCTCTATGTTTGTGTGTAGGAGTACGTTCCGGGCGGAGACTTCCGCACACTGCTCAACAACACAGGGGTCCTCTCCAACCGACACGCCCGTTTCTACATCGCTGAGATGTTCTGTTCGGTGGATGCGCTCCACCAGCTAGGCTACATTCACCGCGACCTGAAGCCCGAGAATTTCCTGGTTGATTCGACAGGGCACGTAAAGCTGACAGACTTTGGACTGGCAGCGGGCGTGCTAGCGCCGGCCAAGATCGAGTCGATGCGGCTCCGTCTGGAGAAGGCGTCAGAGACACCGGTACCGTTCGGAAAGCCGATGGAGCAGCGGACACTCGCTGAGCGACGAGAGGGCTACCGGACGATGCGTGAGAAGGACACCAACTACGCCAAGTCGATCGTCGGGTCGCCCGACTACATGGCGCCCGAGGTGCTGCGCGGCGAGGAATACGACTTTACGGTGGACTACTGGAGCTTGGGGTGCATGCTGTTCGAGGCGCTGACGGGCTTCCCGCCGTTTGCGGGCGCGACGGCCGAGGAGACGTGGCGCAATCTCAAGCACTGGAAGGAGGTGCTGAAACGGCCGGTATGGGAGGACCCGAACTACTTCCTGAGCAACCGGACGTGGACCTTCATCACGACGTGCATCAACTCGCGATCACGGAGATTCGCCAACATCCGTGACATTTACGCGCACCAGTACTTTGCAGAGGTGGACTGGGAGACTCTGCGAGACACCAAGGCGCCATTCGTGCCGGAGCTGGACTCGGAGACGGACGCGGGATACTTTGACGACTTTACCAACGAGGCCGACATGGCCAAGTACAAGGAGGTGCACGAGAAGCAGCAGGCGCTCGAGACCATGGCAGAGCGCGATGACGAGATGAGCAAGGGGCTCTTTGTCGGATTCACATTCCGTCACCGCAAGCCGCAGGGCGAGGACGGCGGCAGCCCGCGGAAGGCCCTGGCAGCGGACACGTTTGGTACGATGCTGTAGGGACAGCAGGGCTGCCAAGACTACAGCGTCCTGTATGGCGACGGAGGGGAGACGGCCAACCACGGCTCCTCCTCGGGGCAGCACGCCGGTGACAGCAGCATTGTCAGCAATGCCAGCAGCCGGGTGGACGCGTCGCTGTATGAACAATTCTACGAACGGCGGTGGCACGGAGCTCGCTTCTCCCGTGACTAACACAAGACCGAGAGGTCGACGTACCTGGGCCTATTGAAGCGATGATTGGGCTGAGGGGTACCTGCGTGCGTTTGCATGGGGCCAAAAATATCTTGGTCGTGTTTGGTTGGTCCTCGCGGACGAGATGGGACGGCGGCTCCAGGAGTCTGGCTCGGCATCCGGACTCTTGACGGAGTGGCGGTCTATGTCGGAGCGGCTGCGACAACGGCCACCACTACGCGTCTTATTTTCTTTACACACTTGCATTGGGCATCATGCCATCACTTTCCTTCTATTCACACCCCCTCCCCTTATCATCATAACGCATTTTCCTTGTCAGCCGGTTATGTACGAAGGATGTCGATGTGGTCTTCCTGCTATGGATTGTTTTGGCCCTTGGTTTATTTTATGTTTTGTCCATGACGGAGTTTTGTGTGGGAGCAGGAACGGGTTGCATCTGGTATAAGAAACGTGGGTGCACAGACAGGGCCCTGATTCTCGTCCTGTGTTGAGATTAATGTGGAACGGAAAAGGACGGTGTGGGTGAGTTGTTTAACATTGATAGAGCTGGCAGGTGGAAGGCATCGAATTCATCTGATGTGAGCCTTGGGTACCTTTTTTGTCGGTACGCCAGATCGCTTTCTTACCGTGTTCGTTCCGTGTCGTGTGCGGCCAAGGCTTGGGAGGCGAAACGACGGCGAAGGACGGACAGGCGGCAGGCACCGATAACACGGACATGATTCACTATAAAAGACGGACAGCTGGCGGTTTGAGGGCGAGTGGAAGCAAACGCGTTGTTGCCCTGTCGAGCCTTGCCGTTGTTGGCCAAGATCACGCAGCGCCAAGAATGTCGGAGAAACCAGGCGTCGTCATGCTGGAGCTGTCGAAGCCGTTTGTCGGGCACATGAAGATGGGTGTTGGCTAGCATCGCATCCCAGCATCGGTGGTCGGCGGTTGGCATTGTCCGATGGGGGCTGGCACAACTTGGCTAGGTGGGGGAGGAAATAAGCGTCTGACGGTCCGAGTGCAGGTCTCGGCACTCCGGCGGGCGATTCAAAATCTCACCCTTGTCTTTAATGTTGTCATTGTCATGCACGCCCCAGCCCCAGCCGCTTCTGGTGTTGATCGCGGTGAGCAAAGGGCATGGGCATGGACATGGGCATGTCGACATGTATGTCCTGTCAGTCCGCCTGCCTGTTCAGTGCTGGGTGTTTCGATGGCTGCCAGCGCACAGGCATGGCCTTGATGTCCTGAGGGTTACAGCTTGGGTGTACAGCTTTAGGTAGGTACCTTCTGACTAGGTAGAACTGACGGCGTGCAGTTGGGGTTGCATAGCATCAATGGTCCCTGCCTCGCCTGCACCTTGCCCGTTGAGAGTCGTTCGGACTTTCCCCAAAGTTCAGGTCAGACATCCGACCAGCCAATGACCTCACTCAGCCCTAGCCTTCCCTGCCACCATTTCTCTTTCATACGCACGGCCGACGCGGTCAACTAGTCTAGTGAAAAAAAAAGAGAAAAAGAAAGAAAAAAAAAAGCCCCAGCTGCAGCCCCGACCTCGCAGTAGGCCACACCTCGTGGCCATGTGCTTCCACGCCCAGCACAGTCAAACAGCGCCTGTTCCGCCTCTCGTCCTCTCCATCTCACGCCATGCGATGCCATGTCCAACAGAGCACGATGCTGCAGGGCCGCGCGGCACATGTGCTACTCTGTAAAATCTCTCCCTCTGCATTTCTTGGCTTCTGGTCCTCACTGGACTCTTGACCTGCCCCCGTCGGCATTCCTATGCGGATTATGGCAGATCGCCCGGTCAAAGGCCCGGCTAGTGTTTTGAGTCTTTGCCCGGGGCCTAGAGAGGCTTGACATGCCCCTCCTCCCCCACCTGGCTGTCATTCCCGAAACCCCCCTGCCCCTTCTTTGGCCCGAACGCACGCCCCCCATCTTCCCCTGCCGGCTCTCCGTTGGCACCGTCTTGATCCTTCAAGTGAGAAGGGCAGCAGTAGTGGCACTGCCTAGCTGGCTCGCTCAGATCTCAAGGAGGGCATACGTATGCCCACAGACAGCGACGTCACCCCGCAAGGGCCTTGTCTGTGTGTCCGTCGCTCCCCAAGATGCCCGGCCGCCGAAGGGGTGCGGCTAGTCCAGCCCGACGAGCTTACCAAGACTAGACTACCGAGTGGTGACTGCTGCGGAGGAAGGCTGGGCTCCCTCGCATGTATATAATAGACCCTGGATCTCGGCCACAATCCCGACCATCTGGATGCTACATCAGCACACTTTTGTGGTCTGCATGCAACGGTTCAACACCACATTCCAGAAAACTGATCCCAAAAACTGCCTTTTAACAACAAAAGCAGCAACGAGACGAGACGAACCCCTTCTTTTCTCCAACACCAACCAGTCAACACGGTCAAAATGAAGACTAGCCAAGTCGCCGCTGTCCTGGTCCCCGTGGCCACGGTCAACGCCCAGTGGTGGGGAGGAGCCCCTCAGTGCGCTGTATGATAAACCCGCCTCCCTTATTTCCCTCCCCGTCGTCTTGAATAGCCAGTCTGATATCAAGACACAGTCCTCGTGCATGTCCTCGGCCTGGAACAACCCTACGTCGTGGCCCGAGCCCACGTCGCTGTGCGCCGGCAGCACCCCGGCCGTGGCCACGTGCGTGCAGTCGGCCTGCGCGGCCACCCCCACCGTCTGGTCGTCGTACTCGTCGCTGTCCAGCAGCCTCTGCAGCAAGTACGCCTCGTGCACTTCGGGCGGCACCGGCGCCGTGCGCACCATCACGGCCACGGGCGGCACCTGGAACGGCGGCTGGTGGAACGACGCCAACAAGTGGGGCGGCCCCGACGGCAAGGGCTGGAACGGCAACGGCAAGGGCGGCTGGAAGCGCGACGGCCCTCACGGCTTCGGCGGTCCCGGCGGTGCTGGCGGTCCTGGAGGTCCCGGAGGCCCCGGAGGCCCCGGCGGCAAGGATTGGCCCAAGACGCTCACCTCGGGCCAGGTCTACACCGTCACGGGCTGCGACTGGAACGACGGCTACTGGGGCGGCTTCGGCTGGGGCGTCGGCAAGGGCGGCCCCTGGGGCTGGGGCACCGGCTGGACCGCCCAGGCCACGTCGACCGGCATGGTCACCAAGACCTGGACCGCCGGTGGTAGCGCCTTCACCACCACGGCCCCCGCCACCTTCGCCGTCGCCGTCAGCGGCTCCGTGACCTCGACCGCCACCCTCGGACTTGCCCAGCAGGCCGAGGCCACCGGGACCCCTGGGACCCCCGGGACCCCGGCCCCCAACGCCGCCGCCGGCAGCAACTCGGGCGTCAAGGTTGCCGGCGCTGCCCTTGCTGGCTTTGTCGGTGTTGCCCTCGCCCTCTAGGCGGCATTTCGCATCGTCAACCTTCTTGTCTAAAGGAGTTTAGGCTTTCACTTCCCGGCCGCCTTTCAACATGCACCCTCCTTTTATCCGACTCGACATGATTACTTTTTCTTTTCTTTACCTTCCTTATACTATTATGAGCATATCCAGCAACGTCTTTTTTTGGAGTTTGGCTTTTGAAAGATCCCCCTTCCTTTAGTTTCGGTAGAGCATGACTGCACTTTCCTTTAGGTGGACAAAACACGGACCGGCCAGGAAAGCGGGGTGGCCTTGGTAATGGTCTGGCTTTGGAGCTGGTATACGAGGCATGACGGATGGTAATAGAGGGAGAAGTGGTAAAGATAGGACTCGAGTTTGGCTTTTCCGATTCTTGTATCACCCTTTATTGGTATTTCATAATATCTTTCCCATGCGGTCGCGCTCATCAAGTGAACTGACACGGGGACGGCCCCGGACGTTTTAACATGCGCCCAGCAGCAACTACCCAAGGTAGATACGGATAGACATATTGATACTTGCCATACCGCAGTGTCTACTTTGGGACCGAGAAGCATAACAGGATTGTCCTACAGGCACTGACAACACACGACCCAGGGAGACAAACCTAGTTCAGTAATTCTAATATATTAGATATACGAAACAAGACAAGAAAAAGGTTGTGGTGGTTGACTGCTTGCAGGTGGTGGAACATAGGTATGGTCCGCCACGGCGACCTCGAAAGCAATAAAAAGCAAAAAGACAAAAACAAAAACAAAAAGACACCCATAACCAAACTCCCATCGACCACACCCCCACTCATTCGGCCTTTTTTGACGCTGAGCTGCCCCCGGCTGCGCGCTGATGCCCGCCGCCCGGCAGGACGGGCGACTCGTTCTCGACCTGGCCGGCCTGCTGTTGCTGCTGCTGCTGCTGCTGCTGCTGCTGCTGCTGCTGCTGCTGCTGCTGCTGCTGTCCCGCGCCGACACGCAAGGGCTCCGGCGTGAGCCGCTCCTGGCTGTTGGTGACGCTGCTGCTACTGCCACCGGCCGGCGGCCCAAGCGGCGAGCTCAGGCGGCGGCGGTGCCAGGCGCGGCCGCCCAGAGCGGACCCGGCGGTGGGCTGCGGCGGCGACGGCGACGCGCTGCTGCTGTCGGGCGACCACGCGCTAACCAGCTGCTGTTGCGGAGGAGGAGGAGGAGGCGGTTGGTAGGCCTGGTACTGCAGCGCCGGGTTCTGGATGGCTGAGGTGGCCGACACGGCGGCGGGAGTCGCGGCCGGGGACCAACCGCCGCTGCCGCTGCCGCCGCCGGGGCTGAAGGTATCGCGCGTCGGCGTCGCCGCCAGGCGCCCGTCGGTGATGACGGTGTTGATGGCGCTCCAGCCGTCGGCTGCGGCTGCGGCTGGCTTGCTGGCGCTCAGCATGCGGCGGTGCCGCACACCACTGCTGCTGCTGCCCCCATGAGTGGTGGGGCTCGTGGGCGAGGCGGCGGCGGTGACGGTGACGACGGCCGGCCCGTCGGCGAAGCGCACGTGCGTCGTCATGTCGCGCCGGCGCGCCGCCCCCGTGACCACGAAGCTGTCGCCGCTGGGCCGCGGCTCGAGGCTGCGCGCCGTCGCGGGCGTGTGGAGGGCCATGGACGAGAGCGACGACACGGGGCTGACCTCGGCAAGCTGCGGCGGGCGCGGGTGGTGCGGGCCGCCGCGGGCGGCGAGGAAGTCGTCGAGGTCGCTGCGTTGCTGTTGTTGGTGGTTATTTTGAGCACCCTCCAGCACAGGCAGCGTGGGCTCCCGCCTCTCCAGACCGCCGCCGCCACTCTCTTGTTTGCCCTTGCCCTTGTCCAGCTGCTTCTTCTTCTGCCGCCGCCGCCGCGCGCACAGCTTCCAGGCCAGGAATGCGAGCCCTGAGACGGCCGCGGCCCCGGCCAGCGACCCGACGGCGATGGCGGCGGGGGGCGCGCGCGGCTGCTGCTGCTGCTGCGGCTTCTTGGGTCCGGGTCCGGGTCCTGGGTTGTCGCTCTTGATCCCTACGAAGCCAGGGTCGCCAGCGCCAGCGCGGGTGCCGGTGCCGGTGCCGGTGCCGGCAAAGGCCGCAGCGGCCGCAGCGTCGACCAGCGTGTACACAGCGACGTGGCCCCGGCCGCCGCAGGCCGCGCGGACGTCGCCGGCGCACGGGGCGGTGCAGTTGCCGTCGCCGACCTGGACTGCGGCCGTGGAGAGGGTGATGCCGCAGTAGCAGTTTCACGTTTTTTGTTGTTCTTTTTGTTAGTCACAGGACGCAAAAAGAGAGAGAGAGAGAGAGAGAGAGAGAGAG